ATAAATAAAAAAAAAAGTTGCCATAGAAAAATCTCAAGCACAATATTAGACGCAGTAATTCGTAATGAGAGCTCTGCAGTCGTCAGTTGTAATTAATGTATTACTAATAAATATTTCATGATTAAGGTTTTATTGGCCTACATTTAAACATTATTTCAAAACATGCAGGACAGTTAAGAACTTTAATTTCATTGTTTACACAAGATTAGACTACAATACAAAAATGTCGGAGTTCAAGAAACAATTTTCATTCACAATTGTTTTGACGTTGAATGCTTTTTAATAAGTATTATAAATAACTGAACGTTTCGAAAGGAGTACAATCTTATATTATAAGTTAGACTATACAGACTAAATAGACTAGACGAGATTTAAAAAGACGTCAAGGGTAACTTGGTTGAGTGCCTTAATTTTTGAAACACACACACAAAACATCTACTTATTATTTATACTTGTGTCATTGTCCTTAGATAATTTTGTTATTGAAGGACAGAAAAGTTAAAATGCGATAATAATATTTATACCTTGATTTTGGCGTGTAATAACAAGTTTTTATATAGGATAGGGGACGAGCCACCTAATGGTAACTGACTACCAGTAACCTAATTTAATCGGTTAATAACTACGAAAAAAATCTTAAGGCCGGTTTACAATAAAGCTCATCACTCCGGTCGAGGCTGCCCATTTGTGCAAAATACAAATAAAAATAAAATGTGTAATAATACCAAACCAATTTTGACTGTAACTGACGCGATCGGCCACGTTTTGATCGAATTGCTCCGATCGTGGTCACAGACGGACTGATTATGCCGCGGCGTCCCGTGAGTGCGGGTTTTGGCAACTACCCGCAATTGATATTTTTTTGTTCGTGTTATTGGTACTTCGACATTGTGTATTCTACGATAGTGTAAATGTGTCACTACATATCTGATACGATGAAAGTCGCCAAAGATTAACTACTTTTATTCGGAAAGTACTGTTCCCCGGGTATGAAAAAAATACCTACGCAAACCAAAACGCATCCTAAAACTTTTAAGAAATAAGATCAAAAATAAAATGCTGGTGATTGGAACTTGTCATTTTATTTCATAGCTAATAAGAAAGCGGATTTATGTGTAATCATGACGGCTACTTAAAAATACAAAATTAAATTCACTTAAGCTGATAGTGATAATATTTATGCCATTTTTTTAAATTTGTGACATTTTTATTAAGTTGATTATTCGTTATTACCTTGGCTTACCATGCATACTTAATCGAATTTGCTTCAAGTATTGTTGTAAATAAAACGAATGTGCTACAACATATGAAAATATCCTAAAATACCAACATTATGGTAGTGATCTGAAAGAATTATTGTCGTAAACAAAGTTTGTGACAATACAAAACTAAATTTGTCAAACATTTTATGATCATCAATTGTGTTGTGTGTAAGAAAGTGTAAACATCATCAAGATGTCTTACAATTCTTAACCATTACATAATTTATTTTTATATATATGATCTGGCTATATCTCCGTTTTATTCTGAGTTAAGTGTGAGAATTATTTTTCATTTTAATTTTCAAAGAAAATTTGTTTTGTCACAAATTAGCTGAGTATTTATCAGCTAATTTGTGACCTAACCTGACCTAAACCTTCTTAATTTATAAAAAAAAAGCAAATAAATTCTGTTCCCAATGCATTGTGACTTTCAAGTAGCAGGTGTCCATAGGCAACGGTTGTAACTTACCATGAAATGACCTGTCCGGTCGTTTCATTTCATCCCTATACTATAAAAAAAATAAGAATACGAATAATTTTCGTTTCTCATATACTACTCATATGTAACGGGTAGTATATGTTGTTGTTAGTATGCACCAGCTGTTAAGCTGGACTGAAAAAATAAGAAATTATAGAACTAAGGAACATTAATTAATTATTCATAAAAAACGCAATCGACAAAACGCAAACGCCTTAGACAAATCGCAAAACACACCCAGCGCATCCCGTTTATTCTCTCAGGCACCAAACATACTTTTTAGGCGTTCAACACCAGCATTACTTGTCGAGCAACCTCTTCTGAAGCCAAATTGTTTCCTGTGTAGAATCTTGTTTACACTAAAGTGATTTTGCAGCTGGTCTAGTATTATTTTTTTAGGTCTACAATTTGTAGAATGCCTTAAATAATAATAATAATATAATTCACACATTTCACACACGGCTGTCTGATCCCAAACTAGGCAGAGCCTGTGCTATGGTAACCAGACTGCTGATAAACATACTTATATATTTTTAAATACATACATATTATAGATAAATTACACCCAGACACAGAACAAATGATCATGCTCATCACACAATATTTGTCCTGGGTGGGAATCGAACCCACGACCTCCGGCTTAGCAGTCAGGGGCACTAACCACTCGACCAACAGGCCCGTCATAAAAAACAAAGAAAAATAAAGAAAAAATAAAGAAATGATCTTACTATGCTTCATTAGGTCAGGAAATACACCACATTCGATGCACTTATTGCAGATTAAGGCCAAGTCTGATGCACTAATACCTATTATTATTTATCATGATGCATTGATGCCTGTGATACCTACTTTTTTAAAGTTAGGTATTTAAAATGTTTTTAACTGTACACAAGGCCATTGGATTCGTTTTAACTTTATGGTCTTAAATTATTGTATTATCTTAAATCTACCTTTTTCGTACAATAATAGTTTCTGAGAAGACTGAAATTTAAAAAAAATTTAGAAGATTTTAAGTTATGTAATATATTTTGCAATGAGACATAATGTTGTAAGCCAGGCTCTCGCAAAATAACAATAACGGTAATGAATTTTATACATAACTGTATTAGGTAAAAATAGAAGCCGTGAGCCGGTCGCTTGCCGAGTCTACACATAGTTACAGGTATACTAGGCAATAAGTACAATCAGCACTAAAAATTACAACATTCAAAATAGCTACTACCCGAAAATTCACTCCTGGTGAGTTTAACTTAATATTAACATCATAAATATAATAAGATTATCAACAGTCTGGAGAATTTTAATGTACAGAATATAATTTAATAATAGGTTAAAAACTAATTAATGTTTAATGATCATGACAATGTAATAAAACAATAGTATTTTTTAATATAAACTTAAAATGACTCTATAAACTTAAAATAAAATAATTAAATTAAAGGTTCTCAATCATAAATGCAATCAACAACAGCACTGCAGAGAGAAGGAAAACTTGACACAAACCCTATACCAACCCGTCTGGCCAACGTGGTATAGTAGGCCAAAACCTCCTTTCTAAGGAGAGAGTTATGTCCAGCGGTTGACTGTTAAAGGCTGTTGATGAATCAATAGATTTTTATTTGTATAGTAATGCATATAAATTTAATTTAAGTAGTATTGATGCCAACAATGACTATCAGAGATCAGTCTTTTCCGAAAATCTGTGTATTAAAATTATTATAAGTTATTTTATAATGTTCATCAACAATTGATGATGATTTTACATTTCTGCAAGTATAATGTAAGTCCTTAGGACATTCACATTTGATATTCCGGTTCTTCAAGGATCATCAATGTTTGGATTATTTACATAACTTTAAGCAAACATCATGATGCATATACCAGATGGTTACGAGACTTGAATAATAATAATAACTTCACACATTTCACACACGGCAATCTGATCCTAAACTAGGCAGAGCCTGTATATAAGTATTCTATCAGTCAATCTAGTTATCATAGTACAAGCTCTGGTTAGTTTGAAACTAGATGACGTTGTGTGTGAGAAGTCCGAAAAATAATATTATTATTATCTATCTAACCAAAGCTTACACTATGGGGTAGACGTCAACAATATTTATCTCAATTTAGTGTAGACTACTCTTATTATTTTACCATTTTGCTGGCGATATCCACAAATAGAAATTATAACATTATGACGGATTAAGAATACGGAGTGTCACCACCCCTATTCATCCCGTGGCTGTCGGAAGAGCCGACTAAGTAAGCAAACTACGCAAGACAACAGAACTGCAAAGAGAAAATTTGACACAAACCCTATACCAATCCGTCTGGCCAGTGTGGCACAGTAGGCTAAAACCTCCTTTCTAAGGAGAAGCCTGTGTCCAGCAGTGGATTAATAAAGGCTAGTGATGAAAATGATGAATCTCTATTATCTAATTTAATTAAGCCTCGGAAATTGTAAAGGTCCTTATCAGGACTCTGGAACCATAAAAATAGATATTGAGAGAACTTAAAGTATGCCTAAAAAATAATACATAGGTATAATTTTACAAAAAAGAATGAATGGCAACAAAATGATTAATGAAAAAGACTAACTTGGAAATACCATTTATATTATATAATCAATAATATCGCGCAATACAGTTATGCATCGTTTATACGTCTTTAAATTAATATTAAATGCAATCGTTATCATTTATATATATAATATCGTTTTCATTTATAGGTATATATTTTCCTACGAAAACGAACAAAATATTTAAATGTGTGACTTTTTCATCTTGAGTCCATGATGCATAAACTGTTGTGGTTTAAAAAAATATATAAAATGAAAAAGTAGCTAATATTAATGGAAAAATCATTCGATATGAGAATATCATTTTTATCTATTTATTAATTGAACTCCCCATACTTAAATTGCCATTAAGCCGGATAAAATATTTGAACCTTATGAATAATTTATTCATTCGTTAGTTACAATTACAAAAAAGTATAGCTACTGTCAAGTGCGTCAATGTTTACCCATTTTATGGACATGGCAATAAATGCAGTGTTTACATGTTCTTTCTTTTCCACAAAAAGTCCAAGACAAAGATAACGAATAAAAAATAATTAAATTACAAAATACTGCATTGATTAAAATGATTAGCCAATGCTATTGTTCGACTCATTGACATAGGGTTAACATTCAAGTTCACTCGGATCGCTTCAGATATACCCGCGAAGTTCACGCCGCTCGTCACATTGCGTGTAAAATCATGGCGGTGCGCGCATGCGCTCTTTTGTTCCTCGCGTTCACAACAGCCGCAGCGCGGGAATGCATCGAATTGACATTACCCGACAAAAGTTTATTAACAGATTCGATATTAAACGGTACGATATTAAAGTTAGCAGCTAAAAATGAAAGTTTCGAAGAAAGTGGACGTTTTAATGTGGTGGAAATGTGGGAGCGGTTCCCTAAAATCGTGGTGCCAAGGAACGGGACCAGCGATCAGTGCCGAAGAGATAGCCAGTTATACCTAGACAGCCTGGAACGTCTGGAGTTATGGGCATTAAAAAGTAAATACCTTTTTTTTTCCAATTACATCATGCACTTTACTGTTGCATTAGCCATAAAAATTAAAATCATATTAGATATTAGATCTTTTTATCAATTTTCTAGTGTTATAGATCATTGTTATGGCTGTCGTGATGACAATAACTATTTTAAATATAAAATATTTTTATTGACAAATGATAAATGCATCATATTTACGTTACCGCATGGCACACAAAAAGAAAAATTAAAATAACCATTTACAAAACTTTTATTTATTTCGAATTTGACTGTGTCCGGCAAAATAACTTGAAGGACGATGAACGAAACTTAATCACTGTATCAAGACCTTTGCAGTCTTTTGCAACATCTTGTGCAGCATACTAGCGTATGACGACCTTTTGTTGATTATTGAATGTCTAGGTTAACTACTACTCACACTCCCATGACTTAGGTGCATTTATTTTTAAGTACTGTTATTAAACTTTATTAAAATATGAATTTAGTATATCAGTATATTAAGCATGACTGCACTTATGGCGAAGTGGTTTTGAGCGGTCATCTCACTCTACCAACTGCTCTGAGTGTTGTGGGTTCGATCCCCACATGGGACAACACTTTCCGTGATCCACAAATTGTCGTTCTGAGTCTGGATGGTCTTTGTATCTGTCTCATGTATATTTGTAATGTCCCCGCGATGCAGGATATATTGCTTACACGGGAGTTGTCTTTAAAAAAAAAATTGCATTCACTTCACAGGAGACACTAGGATCTCTAGGATACAAACTAGGATATTTAACCTCTCTTACTAGATCAGTCTCTATAGAGGTGAACCCTTTTATAAAGCATATATGTATATAGCATAGAACGGAAGGAAAGCTTCAAGAGATTCCTTTTTGCTGCAGTCATTTTAGTTACAATCATGTAGGTTGTAGATTCTTACAAAACCAAACCGAAAAAAATTGCAGGTTAAAAAAACAAAGAAATACGCTTTTGTAACTATTCATAAAAGTAAAATTTTTATATTATAAAATATCTTAAAAAGCACCCTCCACCCTTGTTTTGAGGTGGGTCAAAATCACGTTCAAAGATTCCGTTACATACGAGTACATACATACATACATGCCAAGCTAATAAAAGCGTGTTGCTAATAAAACAGTCCCCTGTGTCGTCCCATTTCTAGAATTACCCCTTTTTGTATTTTTTTCTAAAATATATTTTTGTACCTAATGTTTAAAATCATTCTTAAAATACTAACCGAATATCGATTTATTTATTATCTTGTCTCGTAATAAATCTTGTCCAGGTTTTTAAACTCACTGCCCTGTATATTCTCGTAATCATCATCATCAACAGCCTTTAGCAGTCCACTGCTGGCCATCGGCCCCTCCTTAGAAACTAGGTTTTGGCCTACTGTGCCACGCTAGCCAGGCCGGTTATTATAGGGTTCGTTTCAAGTTTTCCTTCTCTTTGCAGTGCTGTTGTCCTGCGTAGTTTGCTCCCTTAGTTATACTCCGTATTCTTAATCCGTTACCACACGGATACGGATTGCTATGCACAAATTTATTTGAAACTCAAAAAAGTAGTAAATTACGAACTTGATATTTCATTTACTCAAAATATGCAGTCCTCTACCAAGAGTCACCTAATTTGTAAAACGGAAGAAATGATAATAAGAATAAAAAATAAATCTTTACTATTAATAGGAACAAAAAACAATAATACCGTCTATAAGACTTGAGATGAGAACAAAGTTAATAAATAATAAGTTAATTTTTTATTTATTTTTTTGCTTAACAGTGCAGCCAATAATGAGCTGCAATAATATAAAAAAAGAATTCTTAAATAATAGCTATCAGATCAATGGGCTCTTTCATATTTGTCATTCAAGCGTTCTTCTTACCATAGTAAAAAAATGCGAATGCACATTCTTTTTCTTGAAGGCACTGAGATACCGGGATAAATACCTAACGAGATCTACCTATATTGAATTACTATTGTTTAATAAAAAATATGCTGTAAAAAGTGGACCCAACACTATTATCTGATGTCGTTTATAAAGATGTTGTACATTAATTAGAAATAAAGTTTATTTAATTAAAAATATATGTACCTACTGAGTAAGTTGCAAAAATTCTACAATTTAACATTATTTCATTTTTATTTAGCAATAGAAAATGTCTAAACTATACCTACCAATCCGTCTGACACCCGGAGTATAGTAGGCCTAAACCTCCTTTTTAAGGAAAAGCCTATGTCCAGCAGTAGACTATTAAAGGCTGTTGACGACTAGTAAATGTTTATTTAAAAACAACTTTATATCAACATTTCTAACAGTCATTCAGATTTACGTTGGCGCCTTTTTCTCTGGGATAGGTATGGACAAAAGATGTTCTTACAGTCCTACTGATGAAAATATAAAAACAAATATAACATTATGGTATGGTATTATAACATTATAATTATTATAATGGAGAGTATTTTAAAAACTTTATATAAAAACACCCATGTTGAATTTTGTTTCGTGTATTTGTATAGATAAATACAATTTACCAATATCAGTTCGTAATAACAGATCAAGTTGTGCATTAGGTACATATACAATATTCATGATGGCCTACTTCTTAATCACATTATTTTGTCAAAAACATACAACAGAAAATTAAATACAAACATTAGCACATTAAAGTTTGCAGACACTTAGTTTCAAAACAACAATATCGTATTACTGATAGGACTCAGTGCATTCATGAATCCAGTAAGTTATAAAATATTAATAGAAACTAAAATTTGTTAAATCGTATTTTTTCGCTCGAACTGCAGTATAATTAATTTGTTATTGAATGCTACAATTTATTGGAATAAAACATGGTACATTGAACTTGTTAGGTGCTTGCTGAATAACATATTTGAAATTGCTCAGTTTTGCGAGATCGTATAATTTGATACCTTTTTTTATTTAAATTAGATTTGTTGGTTGTGTCTCATTCATAGGGATGTATGTATAGGAATTATTTTGTAGTATTGTTTTTGTTTTTCGGGTCTTCGCTGAATATAAGAATCACCAGAACTCACGGTACAATGCTAAATTGAAATCAAACCGACTATCACGTGGTACTCAGTCAGCAGGTTGGTCTCTTGGTTTTGGGTTTAATCTATTAAGAAGGAAGGCGTAAACAGGTCCGCAAGTACCCTCTTGTTAAATCTAAAAACCAGGCTGCATATAAAAATCTTGGACAGAACCATGAACTTCAATGAGAAGTTCCACAAAGTGAGTTCCGCTGCGATGAAGACAACTCACTGGAGTAGCCAGTGAGTTGTCTTCATCGCAGCTGAGTCATTTATCGAGCCACTGCTACGCATGATCCACTTACCAAGTTGTGCCCTACATTTTCCCCGTGTGCTTCGCAGTTTAAACGATACGGTTATTAAACAAACGAACCATGTATCGAAAGGTAATCCTTTCCTCTGATGCTAATCCTTCACGACGGGCCTCGTGGCTTGTCCACCGTTCGATCGCTCAGTTCTTTGCAGCCAACCGTTAGAACATGGAGCTGTGATCGTTTTGTCTGCTTTCTACCGCTTTCTGCCAAGAATTTCCATAGTATTTTATTATATTACGTGACTTTTAATGTGTCAAATTATATTCATTGTTTTTTCACTGTGACCAAAATCATACCTACATTAATATTAATTTGACATATTAACAAATTTTAATTTTTTAGCCTTGCCAGAAAGCGTTGAAAAGAAATTAGTAGTCAACCCAATCAACCTACGGTAACAAAAAAAAACGATATGTTACGGGTTAAAGGTATTGTTTGCGTGTGTTTTCCGATTAGTTTCGGACCCGACGGGGAACCTTTATCAAGTTGTGCAGTGACCTTCGACATCGGTGTCAGTTGCTACCTGGTCACTCATCCCCACACTTTCGTGAGAGAGCCATACCTCAGCACAAAAACCACATCACGATTTTTTTCCAAAAGAACGCTTAAAGCAAAAGTACTACGGGAATGTATAATTAATAATTAATTTGTCGATAGTGGCTTCAGTACAACTTGGGTAAATCATTATGTGGTAATACGCATTTGATAGACCACGAAGACAAATGTTGCCTCACAAAATAATTTCATCACCGTTAACTGCACCGCAACTTTTTGGGTTTGTTTAAAAATCACACCGTAAAACTTAATTAAATATATATTTTTAGATATTACAAAACCGTGATAAAATCTATCAGTTATTCCATCAAATTTGGTGAATGTCACTTGTTGTGGCGCCAAGCGGCACGTCAACCCGCTCATTTAGTTGTCCGCCGAATTTCAAAGAATAATGGCGTGATGTATCAGTGTTTTTTATCAAGTAAAACAATATCGAACGGGCCGTCAAAAAAGTTTTTAAATTCTAGACCTCTATCATTCACAACAAGTACTAAGACATGCCGGTGAAGAATAAACTTCCTGAAGCCGCCAGCACTAACCCGCCGGGTTCTGGCCGACGGCGTCATTGGTGTGTAGGTGCCCTTAGATACAAACTAATTGAATGTGTATACTCTTGCTAGAAATCAAGATTGTGTCCAGTCAAATCATAACTCACATAGTATTCTGAAGTGCCTCGTCTTGCGAGCAGGTTTTAAAAGGATTTAGAGGCAAAATAACAACATCGAAAAGCAATTGTAGATCCAACATTCATTAGAAGAATCAGCTAGTTACAAAGAAACAGTAGCAAATTTCTTTCATTCACATACATATGAGATAGAAGAAGCTACTGCAAGCGCCCTTAGAAAGAAAGAAGGAATGACTCAGCATGGTAATGGAAAGGTTTTTATGAGAAGTATCACAGCGATGACACTCAATCAGTCAGTAAAATCCCAGGTTGAAGTTACAATTCACTTGATTAAACACGGATATTGTCATTACGTAATGGCTAAGCCCTTTAATAATTGCCTATTCAGTACTAATAACGATATAGTGAATCACTAATTCCTTAAATTTGTATTAATGACAATAGTCATTTCAAATACCCA